ATAAAGGGGATTACATAGGGGAGTATTATAGGGGCTACCAAAGGGGATACCAGGAGTTTAGACTCCAGCTCAGGTGACCTTTGGAAGTTTAGGTTTAGGGTTCGGGGTTTCTCAAAAAATGGATGCTATCTTGGGGGGCAATAAAGAGGAGACTGTAAAGTCATTTTGAGAAACCCCATATCCCCTAAATGGATACATATAACTTACTGCTTCTTAGTAGGGAACATAATCCCTACATAGTACCTATCTAAGAAATCTCCCTCATTCCCTACTAAGCCTCAAGCCCCAGTGAAATAATGCGTGTCCTCACATAGTTTTCCCCACTGCGGGAACACCCTAAGCCCTAAACGCTAAACCCCAAAACCTAAACCCTAAACCCAGCCTATACCCAGACCCCCTAAAGGATCCAAAACATGGAACCTCCCAATAATCCCCTAGTTCCCCCAATGTAGTAATGGGGGTCATTATGGGGGGTTCCATTATTTGGATCCTTTGGGGGGTCTGGGTAAGCTTCTAGAGCAGATCAAGGGTTCTGTCCTGGATTTAGGGTTTACATTAAGCTGCCAAAACCTACTCTTTTGTAGCTTCCCTATAAATTCCATACTAGGGTTTATCGTAAGACCCTACAAAAAAAAAAGGTAGGTTTCAGTAGGTTACGGTAGGGTATAGGGTTCAGGAACCTATTTTTGTAGGGGGAGGGTACGCACCTAATAGAGGAAGGGTTACTAGGAGGGCCACCTGAAAGGGACTTACGAAATCATCTTAGATACCGCTTGTGGTGTTATGGAGTACTTATTTAGAGAGCGCTTATATCCCCCTTTTATACCTAGGCCATCTGAACATCCCCAGATTACCCCCCAAAAAAGCAGGGTTCCCATTCAGGGTCCTAAGAATAAAGAGGGACCCGCTGGAATTGTTAAGAGTTGTTGTTGATACACGCTTGGCTGCCTGCGCCGTCAGGGGTTCTCGTAGGGAATAAGGGAAAATAATCCCTGTCTAATCCCCGTATAACATATTCCCTTACTCCCTAAACCCTAAACCCCTAGATAGAGCCTGACAACAAAACTAAATAGTAGTATCCAATGTCTTTTCCATTATCCCTTCTCTTCTCCGTATATAAGATAAAAATCCCTATACAATCCGAACATGATCCCTATGTAACAGTAAATATATATATATATACATATGAACATACAGTCTCCCTTAAGTAGATAAAATATGTGGTATATGGGGATCTTAGTATAAAATACCCAAAGCCACATTTTATCTACTTGAGGGAGACTTTGACTGCTAAGAGCCAGTAAGTCAGAGATGCCTAAACCCTAAACCCTAAACCCCTAAACCTTAAACCCTATCTCGTCATCTAAGGATTGGGGAGCGGCTCGAGCCTCGGCGGTCTCTACCTTTAGGGTTTAGGATTTAGGGTTTAGCGTTTAGAGTTTAGGGTTTAGGGTTCAGGATTTAAGGTTTAGGTTTTAGGATTTAGGGATTAGGGTTTAGGGCCTAATATAGACCCCCAAGTGCTGGAAAACCTCATCATTGGGGCCCCCAAAACAGGTACCCCCAGTGTTGGGAAATCCACATGTGTAGTATTTCAGTTGGGGATGCTGCAGCCTTCATTATAGAGTAATATTATATCATCCTTTTTGGGTATAGTTTGTCACATGTACATTGCCAAATCATATAATGTAGGTTCTGATTGAAAAGGGGTTTAGATGCAGGAGGTGTGGAAGCAGGGGGCATTTCATAGGCGGAACGGATTGTCAGGAGGCTACATGAGCTATAGTCTAAACTCCTCAGAGCGGGGCTGTGTAAAGGATTATACAGGGGAGGGGACTCTAAGGAGGATACTAGGAGGTTAGACTATAGCTCCGATGCAGGATGGGTTTGCCGCCTCTGAGTTTGCCAAGGAAGAGGCTGGCAACTTTCCCGTGCTTAAAGAGAGTGCGGGAGTTGATTGTTATATGTGGGCTACACTCCGTAAAGGGTTTAGGGTTTAGGGCTTAGGGTTTGAGGTTTTGCGTTTGGGGTTTTATAGGGGATTATATGGGGTTCAGGGTTTCATCATGGTCTCTTTATACATCCTTATTGCAGTACCCATGTTCGCTTCCCCATTTCCCTTTAGGCAACAGCAACGCAGGGGCGCAGGCAGGACAGCTCGTGTTTCATCGGCGAGAACCTCGCAGTATATGATTGCCATTCTTGTTCCAATACCAATTATATAACCCATTATAGTAGTTTCCATTTTCTTTTCCACTATCCCAACATAACCCCAATACAACCTTATATAACCCCTATATAACCCATTATAGTAGTTTCCATTTTCTTTTCCATTATCCCAATGTTTTTACTGATACTTGAGAGGTGGCTGCTAGTGCGCGCTTTGCCTGCTGCAGCCATTGGCTAGCACGTTGAGCACCAGCACCCATGTCAGCCAACTGAACACCTAAACAGCGCAAACATTCCCATACAACATCATGCTTCAGGCACACAGCCATTCCAATACAAGAAGGCTGCCAATGCACATATCGTCCAGCAAAACATGGCTGGATCACACTAGGCATGACTTGGGGTATCCACTCTACTATTTGGATAGCTACTAACATCAAGTAGGAGCCTCAGACAACAACGAAGTCATCAGCATACGACGGGCAAACTTCTGGCTGGGCCAGTGACACCAGGTAACACCTGCTTTGAAGGATGGACGTCCTCAACAACAGGTCTGAGGAATCTATATGCCCCTATGATTTGGAGGAGAAGTCCAAGCGGAGCGCAGACGGCGCCGTGTAGCTTGGAAACCCATTGGTTTGTACCCAGTGGGGTTACATTGGGATAATGGAAAAGAAAATGGAAACTACTACACTATAGTATAATGTTAGGTTTCTAGGGGTGGGAGCAGAAGGTTTTGTGGGGGTGAGGTGGAGGTGGGGGCAATGTGCATGAGGTACACACTTGCACCGTTCTGCGACCACGACGGCGATCACTCAAGCTGCCGGGCTATTTGCGAGGGTGCGATGAGAGGGGTTTGGGGTTTAGGGAGGTATAACCCATTATAGTAGTTTCCATTTTCTTTTCCATTATCCCAACATAACCCCAATATAACCCTATATAACCCCTATATAACCCATTAGACTGCTGCTACACCTGCGAGTCGAGGGATTTGTTTTGCTGCTTCGTCATGACTCTTTGGTTGGGAGCTAAGGTGACAACAGCGATGACTCAACGTTCCACTTGGATGACGATAGCTTGCCAGATGTTCTAATGAATCAGACCACCCAGGAGTGCTTCAACGCTCCAGTTTTTCGAGAGCAGCTGCTGCTCCACCTTTCAACTCCTCTCTGCCACTCGTCACAGAAGCAGCAGAGCTATGAGCGTGAAGCTCATACAAAGCATTACATTCCCTGCGGAGTCCCTACCAGAGTGATCCCCATCTTCTGCGAGATGTAAGCTTATGGACCCCAATTTCAGCCGATCTCTGCAAAAATCCTTGTCACGAGGCGTTCCATTGTACTTGATTGCGGGCAGAACACGGCTGCTTGCCAACACGCAAACATGGCCTTGTACTGGCGTGACGTCATGCTATTGGGCAATCCTCCCGCTGTTTGTCTACGCCAACGCAGTTCTCTTCGCCTCTGGGCAGCATGCAATCTGGGAATTTCTCAAGATTACTTCAAGAAAATCCTTTGTGGGGATACCCATAATTTCATAGTCAACATATGTCGCCGGGGTCCCTGCCCCTATCTTGAGGAACCCCATATCAGAAAATGTTTCTCCGATGGTGCGGCAGTGTTGCTGTTCCAAAGAATGGCAGAAGCTCATAGTGTTGGAGCAAGCGCATTCTCAGGTGCTATACCACGATGAGTTTGTCGAGAACCGCATAGGTATTGCTGAGGTGGTGATCGTTCCTTGCCTGGCAATGTTCACGCATCGATCGATGATCGCTCTGCATCTTAGCTGCAGTGTGATGGCGGTCTGAAGTCTTCCTGTGTCCATGTTTTGCAAGGTCTTGGGTGTTGAGGGATATCTGTCATTACTCATGGCTTCAAGTTTACGTCGGTCACCTATCGAAGGAAGTACAGTGGACTCTCTCCAGAGGAGTACAAGCTCTGGCTGGGGGCGCCCAGGCAAATTGCTGCAAAGAGACTTGGTTGCAGCAGGTGCTACATGGAAGTTTCTGAGAATCTACTGTTTTATATGCATGTTGGTTTCCCAGATATTTCCATACATCATATATATTAGGAGGACCCCCCACCCTGTAATAGTGGGATCATAGGAATATAAGAGGACCCTTATATATTCCTTATTATCCCTTGTAGTCACTGTTACAGGGTGGGAGGTCCACCTAACATATATCCTTGAGAAACTCAACATAACAAACTTTCGGCCAACTTTAGGTGGAGCAAGCAGATGCCACTCGCCTCCACCAGAGACCTTTGGAAGATTGATGAAAGAAGGGGTCCCTATAAAGCAAGTTAGGATTGTTCTATATTCCTACATCCTAAACCCTCTGAAGGCATGCTATGGGACGTCTTCAGAACAGGGGTCCAGCTAAAGATTTGCGGGATGAGGGATTGAAGAGAGTATGGTATAGGCACCTGATTAGGGGGGCTGCACACACCCACAGCTTGGATGAACAGTCTGGTTTAGGATATAGGGTTAAGGGTTTCCCGACCAAGAACCCTAAACATGGGTTCGGCCCGCACACATTAACAGAATTGTAGACAGGAAGATGGAGGGACTCCAATATAGTAACCACTATCCCTTGTAGTCGCTTCTGATGGATGTGGCCTCAGCTAGCCTGAACCCAAATGAGCTACAGTCTAAGCTCTTAGTATCCCCCTTAATAAGCCCTATAAACTACCCTATATAATCCCCTACATAACCTTCTTAAAAGGGGACTAATATAAAAGATTATACAGGGGACTACTTTCGGGGTAATTTGGGTGATGCTAGGAGTTTAGACCCTATATATCCATATGTACCCCTATAGAACCCATGCATATACATATATATGGAATCCTAAACCCTAAACCCTAAAACCTTCACCTAGAACCCTAGAGCCCTCAGGCAGTTGATCTCCACCTGGCTGCCAGTCCCAGAGGAGATTCTGAGCACAGAGATCGAGAAAGCCTCCAAGTACCAAGGTTGGGCTCTCTAGGATTTAGGATGTAGGGCCTAGGATTTAGGATTTAGGGTTTGGGGTTTAGGGTTTTGGGTTTAGGGTTTAGAGTACCAAGGTTCAGTTCTGAGAGCCAGAAGTTTGAATAGTAGTGCTCTTATTACTGTTATTCTTCTTATTATTACTGTTATTCTTCTTATTATTAGTTATTGTTCTTCTTCTTATTAGTAGTTACTGTTATTCTTCTTATTATTAGTGCTGTTTATTATTACTACTGTTTCCATTATTACTATTATTACTTAGAACCAAAGTTTGAATGGTAGAGTTGTTGTCATTGTTATTACTGTAGTTAGTAATAGTAGTTGTATTATGATGACTGCGAATTTTCCTGCGTTTATTCTTCGTATTCTTATTGCTATTGTGACTATGATTATTTTTTATGACTACTACTAACATTTCTACGATGATTACTACCATCAACCAATTACTATGATTATGGACATCATTATTACTATGCTTACTATGATTGCGATTATTACTGTGATCACTATAGTTATTACTAGCATCATTATTTCGACTACTACGACTATTATTGTTGTTACTGTTCGTACCAGATTTATTGTTGTGACTTAGAGCCAGAAATTTGAATAGTAGTGTCATTGCCATTTTTGCATTGATAGTATCATGATTATCGCTATTATTGTTATGATGCTTGCTATAGTTATTGGCAGTACTGTCATGCTTATACATGATCTTGTTGTGCGGTCTATGAGGGTGGAGTCCTTTGGGGCCCTGCATTTGGCAGACCCTCAAAGAGTTTGTCAAAGGGGTTGTACTGGAGGTAAGGGAGTCTAAGGGTTAAGGGTTTGGTTTAGGGTATAAGAAAATAGAGGTTGAGGTTAAATCCAAGCCTGGGCAACATCTGAAGGCACATATCGAGCAACAGTGAACCCTCAAATAACGTATCTTCTTTTTTCAAGGTGAGGACCCCCACTTGCCCCAACCCCAGCATCTTGGACACACCTTAATGCAAGCAGATAAAAAACGCACCCAAACAAAGTCAAGACGGGCAGAAGAATCCGCGAAACCCATTCTCCGTTTGCTTTGAATCCTGATTCTGCCATGTGCAGGTGCCGACCTAAAGGAAATCTTCTTCGAGCATGACGTGTGCCCTGTCGGAAGATAAGTACAGATTATTGGGTTGCTGCTAAGGAATTTAAATGAAGTAGCATAACAAGGGAACCCGATGACTTATTACCTTCCCATATTATGGTATGTTAATTAAGTCCCTGAACAGCAACGCAGATAGGGATGTAGCGGAATGAGAAGGCTTGCAGGGGTTTTACCGGGAAATATGCAGGGATAAATGGGAGACTCTAAGCTGAAACCCAAACCTTAAATGCTAAACTCTAAACCCTAAATCCTAGACCCGAACCCTTGGAATCCTTGTAAATCCTTCTGACTTCTGACCCTAGGATCCCCGTGTATACCTGTTTTTTTCCTGCGGTTTCCCCATAAACCCTAAAATCCCATGCGGCGGTTTTTGGGAGAGACGCCCTGAACCCTAAACCCCAAAGCCTGATCCCCTAACCCCAAACCTAAAGCTTGAACCCTAGACTCTGAACCCTACAGGCAAGATGTGCAGAGCTGGAGAGGTTGGCAGGTTTGGGAAGGGATGCTTGGCCGCAATAACCTGTACGTCTTAGAATTGTTCGCGTTGCAGGGTGTAATTATAGTGTTTTCAGGATGTTTAGGGTTTAGGGTGGTCAGGGTTCCTGTTTTCTGGGGTTGTGGGTTTTAGGGCTGTACGGATTTCACGGTTTAGGGTTGCTAGGCTTTAGGGGTTTATGGTTCTTTAGATTACGGTTTGGGGCTTTTAGGTTTGCAGGGCTTGCGGGTTTTGGAGTTAGGGCTTTTGCGGGCTGACTGTTTGTGGGGTTTAAGGATTTTAGGGTTAGGGGATTGGTGGGGTTTAGGGTTTTGTGGGGTGTAGGGATTTTAGGGTTAGGGGTTGGTGGGGTTTAGGGTTCTTAGGGTTTAGGTTTCCAATTGACCGCGGCCTCCGGCCTCTGGTTCGGGGATTCTCTAATCAGGGGATGGTGGTAACCCCGAACCCCCCCAACTGCGGACCTTCTGACATATCGTATGATGGCTATAGGGTCCTAAGTTTGGGGGCTGGGGTTACCAAAAACCGTTTACTATTCTCTAAAGCTGGGGTATATGAGGGTTGCCCTCTTCTTGGGGTCTCCAGAACAAGGATTGTCGCGCATGGAGGTCTACATTGGATTGTCGTTGTTTTCTGAGGGCCTTTTGACAACAGATATGAGGGGGGCTGTGGGGGTCCCTTTTAAGGAGTATACAGAGATCACGTCCAGAAATTCCCAAAAACCTTCGGGCAAGCTGTCTGGCATTCTGAGAGGGTGTTGTTAATTTCCGGTTGTCCTAGGGTTGATGGACAAAATCGTACAAAACCCTAAGTGTGCTGTACATGCCAGAATCTTGGGGCTTAGATGTTGTTTTGTCCATGAACAGTATGACAAAGAACCCTTTGGGTGTAGACTCTCTTTAGATGGGCTCACTCATGTTTGGAAGTTGTTGAAGGGTTCTGCAAATCGAGTTCGCTTAGGTATAGGGATTACATAATTGGATCCCCGTAAGGATGACGAATAGGTTATTGGGTTTAGGGTTCAGGGCTTCCTTATCCAAACTCATGTTAACTTGCTGGTGGTGAGAAGGGCATAGAGCAATGGATCTCTATGGTAGCCCCTCTACCCAGCCATGGTTCCTGGATCTCATATGCCTGCATTCTCTATGAACCACTCCTAAACCTTGAATCTTAAATGATGTAGTAGTTTCCACCCTTTGCATCCATTTGTTCCCTATCAACTCCTCGATACCCTAAACCCCCCAAACCCCTAAATGGTACTTAGTCCGTTCCATCGCGCTTTCCTAAATGATATTTTCTTTTTTCTTGCCAATTCCAAATTCACCCAAGGCCCGAAACAATACACCTTATACATGCCCGTAAAGCCCCAGTTCCCCTTTCATCTTCCATGTGCTGCTCCATGTGATGTTCAGCCCCTACTCACCAACCTCAGCCCCAAACCCTGAATAGTAGTCTCCAGCTTCTGGTTAAGATATCATTATATCTCCCTATAAAGTCCCTGTATAGATCTGCATATCCCCATAATGTAAACCCGTAAAACCCATATCCCCTATATGACCCTAAACCCCCAAACCCTAATATATAACCCTACACCCCAAACCCTAAACCCTATATAGTATATAACCCTAAACCCTATACCTCCCAAGCAAGTTGAAGGATGTTGGCCGGACACTGCACCAATGCAGAGCTCAAGAGTTCTGCGTTGTGCCCCCGTCTCACGCGCGTCTCCTGGTGAAATATGCGATTTAAGGTTTGGGATTTAGGGTTGAAGGTTCGGGGTTTAGGGCTTAAGGGTTGGGATTTAGGGTTTAAGGTTCGGGGTTTAGGGCTTAAGGTTTGGGATTTAGGGTTTAAGGTTTGGGGTTCAGGGTTGCTAGGCTTTTGTAATCTATGAAAACATTGCAATAATGGTATGGGGAGTCAGGAGGGCTTGGTAAGTATGCTTGTAAACCCTAGAAGGCACATGGGGGATTGTCAAAATTA